AAAAAATAAACAGTAATAGATTAATCGTAGGTGTTACCGGAGACAAGGTATTATCCACTCAACCTTATTTATATGTTTTTTGAATGGAGTGTCCAGCGATTTATACTGTGATTAATATGAAAATTATTATCATATTTGTATTGCGACGAGAAAAACTTGCGGTGCATTTTTTCGTTGCGTGAATGAATTTCAAAAAAAGGTGGGGTAGTGTAGAGTAATTTCTTGCGAGACGCATAATTGCATATATGTATAATATCAGTTGCTATTTTTTCCAAGTATACACATACATATGTAGATTTTAAGTAGCTCTTTGCAGAACTTTTTGAAATATAGTCCGGCTAGAGATCTTTTATGAGCTATTGATATTTAAATGACACCGCGCATTTCTTATGTAGAGCGAGGTTTTGCCACTAATGTATCGCTATAAAAGAGTGATCCATGGGCGGCGTATAGATATATATATATATATATAATTCAGCGCTTCAGGCCTGAAGGCCCATGGCTTCTATCTTTTTGACAACTTCTTTCCACGCTTTTCTGTTTTTGGTCTTTTCCTCCAAGTCTGGTATGCCTAGTCTTTGTATATCCTCTTTGACACTTTCCAGCCACTGCTTCTTCGGTCTTCCTCTTCTTCTACTACCTTCTCCTCCAAACAAAACTTTTTTGGCATTCCTATGAGACGGCATTCTGTAAACGTGTCCTAACCAGCGCACTCTTTGAGCTCGGGCTTTTTGTATTATACTGGGTTGGTTATACATCTCCATCAGTTCTTTATTAGTTCGCTTTCTCCATGTACCATCGTTGTTTTTTGTGCCCCCATATATTTTACGTAACATTTTTCTTTCCCAGCGTTCCAATTTCTGTACGTTTTTCTGGCTTAACACCCAAGCTTCATCGCCGTAAAGTACTGATGGTTGGATAACTGATTTATATATCCTTTCCTTTGTTTTCCTTGATATCCACCTCGAGTTTATCATCTTGCTTAAAACCCCCATTGCTTTACTCCCTTTTGCTATTCTTTTTTCAATTTCTAAATCTTCTTCTGCTTTATCTGTTATTGTGACCCCTAGATATTCAAATTGATTCACCTTCTCGAAACAGTATTCTCTGCTTTTTATTGTTAACTTTCCTTCATCGCTTCCTCTCATTTCAAGGTATTTTGTTTTGTCTTCATTTATATGAAGCCCAAAACGTTTGGCAGTTTCTTCTAACCTTCTAAACGTCTTCTCAAGTTCTGCTTTGGATCTGGTTATTATTGCTATATCATCGGCGTAAGCAATCAACTGATGTTTTCTATAGTAAACAACTCCGTCGGTTTGTATACCACAATTACGTAAAATAGCTTCCAGCGTAAAGTTAAACAATGTTGTAGATAGCGGGTCCCTTGTCTCAGGCCTCTCGTTACGCCAAAAGCTCTAGATGTTTTCCCTTCCAATGTGACTTTGTTCATTGTCCCGTTCATTGTCATTTTGACTAACCTTATCTGTTTACTTGGTAGTCCCAGCAGTCTCATAGCTTCATATAATTTTTCTCTGTCAATGGAATCATACGCTTGCTTGAAATCAATAAATAATGCGTGTAAACCAAGATTTTGTTCATAGCTATTATAGAACAGCTGTTTCATTGTAAATATTTGGTCTATTGTGGACCTGCCCCTTCTAAAACCTCCTTGATATTCACCTATAACCTCATTTTCATATATGCTCAATCTGTCCCTTAGTTGAAATGCTAGTATCTTATATGCAGTGTCTAACAGGGCAATGCCTCTATAGTTTTCACATGAACTTTTATCACCTTTTTTGTGTATTGGGCAGATTACGGCGTTTTTCCATTCATCTGGTAGTTCCTCTTGATTCCATATATATCTGATCAGACTTCCAAGTCACTTGTGTAAATCTTGTCCACCCGCTTTTATTATTTCTGCTGTGATTCCATTTTCTCCTGGACTCTTATTGTATTTTAATCTTCCTATTGTTTCCTCTATTTCCAGATCCGTTGGTTCGTGTATTTGTCCCTGATTGTCATCTTCGATTAGTGGTGCTGCTTCCGTGTTCCTTTCCTCTTCGTCTGATAGCTTTAACAGTTCCTCAAAATGTTTGGCCCACCTTTCTAATTTTCCTGGAATGTCACCAATTAACGACCCATCTTTGTCTTTATAGAAGCAAGAAGACCTTTGACTACCCAATTTGCTTCTTCTTGCATCCTGATAAAAGTTCTTAATGTTTTTGTTGATCATGTGATTTTCTATCATTTTCAAGTCCATTTCCCAGTATTCATGCTTTTTCTTTCTACACATCTCTTTCACTTTTCGTTTGGCTTGCTCATATCTTTTCCTTGACTCTGTTGTTCTAGATACATCCATTTGTATTTTTGCTTTCTGTCTTTGTTCCAATTCCCGTTTACAGTCATCATCGAACCACTCTTTGTTTTTTCTAGTACTCGTTTTTCTCATCATCTGATCTGCTACATTAGTGATTATTGCTTGGATATGATTCCATTCCTGATTAATATCCTGCACAACTGGTGTGTTCTGCAGTCCTGTCGCTATTGCTTGTTCAAGTTGCTGTCGAACTGACGTATCTTCTAGCGCTTTTGTTTCGTACCTTTTGATTGTCTTCTGTCTCTCTAACTGTTTCTTCGGGATTTCTTGTTTTATAACAGCTACTACCATAAAGTGATCCGTATCACTATCTGCACCACGGTAACTTCTAACATTGTGTATATTGCAGGCATGCTTGTTTTCGATCAGTACGTGGTCAATTTGATTGGCAGTATTACCATCTGGTGAGATCCATGTTGTCTTGTGGATATCTTTCCTGTCAAAATAAGTGCTCATTATCTTGAAATTTTGTTCAATTGCAAAGTTAATCAGGAGTTTGCCATTTTCATTTGAGAGTTCATGTTTGCTTTTCCCTCCTGTAACGTTTCGATAAGTGTCTTCACGCCAAACTTTTGCATTGCAGTCTCCTAATATTATTTTGATATCGTATTTTGGTAGACTATTTATCACGTCATCAACTGTTGATAAAAGTCTGTTTTGATATCCATATCCTTGTCTTCACTTGGGGCATGTACATTGATCATTGTAACTTTCCTGTACTTTCCTCTCAGGCGTAGATACTGTTTGTATAAGTTGGTACTCATCATTTTATCTCATTATTTTTGTAACATTGAAACTAGGGATCGATCGATACCGATATCTATATAATATCGGCAATATCGGCCCAGTTTGACGATATATGAATCGGTTGATATGACTGCCCATATGCTGAAATAGAACGAAACTTAATAGTCTTCAGCTTTACCTGAATGATTGCATTTTGGTTTCCATTTTTTAAATTTTCGTAAAGCTCATATCAGTATGTATGTTCTTATTTTCTCACGAACTTCCGAGAATTCCTTGTTCGAGTATGTAAGAATGTGGACTATCAGCAAACTTTTATAATAATCCCTTGCATGACGACTATGCGTAATTTCAGTTCGATATCCTCACCCCTATCGCATTTTTCGCCAAATATGCAAACGATCTTGGCCGGAGGCGACGTTGCTTGCGTACCACGCGCAGCTGAGGTCAACCTAACCCTTCATCCCTCCTCTCCCCTTCATCCAACTCACCCCTTGAACTGACCGCCCAACCACCCCATGATAGTAGGATACAGCGCCAGCATAGTACACAAATAAAGTTTGTTCGGTAAGTGTTGCCATGTGATGCTGATTTTCCAGTATATTACATAATGGGTAAAATATATTTATTTTGATTGGTCGCAATTTTACTTGTCTATTTTGGAAAAATGAGCACATGAAAATTATGTTTGATCGGCAACCAAATATTTTCCGACATTGAGGTGAATCTGGACTAGCAGGCACAGGTTGAGCACTGTGTTTCCGAAGTATTATTCTTTTAGATTAGGAATCCATTCTGGAGACAATTACCTCATTAATCTATGTTGAAATGTCTTGTAGGCGCTGCGACGACATGAATAATGTAGTATCCAAATAAACTGCAACATTATCAAAACTCGCATGTTTCTGATGAGGTGATTTATGTTTGCTTGATCTCTTATCGCAAGCTGGCTGTACTCGATTCTCGAGAGCTGCTATCGTTGGTGGAGGGTGAGGTTAAGAGGTCGCTCTTCCTCCCAGCATACCCCACTCATATTCAATTGGCGAATTGTTTGTAGGTCCAGAAAGTCAAGGAAGAAGGATGATTCGAACATTATTAGGTCTATTGTGGCTCTAATAATATGGGAACCGCCATAATCTTGTTGCAAAATAGGGATCTCTAGCTGTTGGAGAAATGTTGAAAGAAGAGCGCCGTCACACTTTTTTACATATGTAGTGATAGCTCCAAACCATGACGTTCAATTCAAAACTTTATATTCTGCCTTTCTCTGAGGCAGCTCCTGACCCGTGCTTGTCCATCATGCATCCCTGAAGAACAGAACTCTGTTCCAGGAAATTGGGATGATGAATGGTACTCCACCGTTTTTAGTTCTGTTTAGGAATGTATCATGGACGGCCTTGGGTCAGAAGGCGTCGCGGAGTAAGTCGTCATCTAAAGTTTTCAGTTGGATGCTACGTGAACCATATTGTAGCAGTTATGGTCACGTTTAATTTACATGAGCGGATGTGTGACTGCAGCAAATACTAGAACTCATTGTCTTCCATACCTCCAAGGTTTTGAAAACCCTATTTTTTAACAAGATAATATCCATCGCCATGTTGCTGCAGCTGTTCTTATATTCAAGTCAGCCTCCTTCCTTGCCTTCCTAGATATCGAGACGCTTCTCCCATTAAACATGTGTGGGATATGATGTGAAGAAAGGTGACTCATTCTTTACAAACGCTTGGAATGAGATACTTCAAGAAGACATAAATAAGCATTGGAGTGGCCCGAAAAATTGGAAAATGTACAACGAGTCCCCTTCTATTGATATAGACTTGCCCAATCCAACTTTTTGGCCGCTAGACTATCACTAACACTAGGCTTTTGCTTGCAGACAGTCTTCGAAGGAACATGCGCTAGAACCAACCCCGACTATATATCTCGACAATCCGCTTCACGCTTGTTGCCTACCCGCTTACGCCCCGAAGAAGCCAACCAGCAACAAAAAAAAAAACAGCAACAAAACACCATCGAATTCGAGTGCCCCACCGACATGGACCGCACCTCCACCTGATCTAAGTCCGTGTGATCCGATCCGATAGTGAGTGCTACCGCCGCGTTAACCGTCGCGCCCCGTAATACTTCCCCGCCTACGAAGAGCAGCAGAGCAGCCTAGACATGGCGATGGTGAACATGAACAACCTTCTGAACGGCAAGGACAGCCGCTGGTTGCAACTGGAGGTCTGCAGGGAGTTCCAGAGGAACAAGTGCTCCAGGCCGGACACCGAATGCAAGTTCGCGCATCCGCCGGCCAACGTCGAGGTGCAGAACGGCAGAGTTACCGCTTGCTACGATAGTATTAAGGTAAGGAGCATGCTTTTGCAAAACTTATACCACAGCATATCCAGTAAACGGTATCTCAACTTCTGACGTATGAGGAGCTCGCGCATCCATCTTATTATGCAGCTCACTTTCGCTTCGGCTGCCGAAGAGAATCGAGTAACCTGTTATTCACGATACCTCATTACGTCAGAAGTTGACAACAGTGACACACAACTTTCGTTGACCTGTCAACGCCGTATCTGTAGACGCTGAAAGAAAAAATGATACAATACAGGGTGTCCGCAAAGTTGGGGTTTTCCTTTACACGACGTGTAGATCTTGAAAACATAAGCAATTTTTCTTAGTACCATATACACCAATGTCTTAAGGGAACCGAGATAAAGGGCTCTGAAATATCAAAAATATCTGAATACCGTCCTGTAGCCGCGACATCACCGACTGGTACAAGGTCACTGGCTCAACCCGACGACAGAACTGGGTCGGGGTCAGTGAGTCAGGTCAGTATGCAACCTTCAACCGACGGTTATGGTCACGCGTGTAGAGGTAATCGCGTAGACGAGAATCCCTCAACAAGCACTAGAGACGTGGCTAGAGAAGTGCAAGTATCAAACACTAAAGTGTGGCAAACGCTGCGTGAAGAGGGGCTGTATCCGTTTCACGTCCAACGTGTACAAGCCCTGCAACCTGAAGATTTTCCAGCAAGAGTGCGGTTTTGTGAGTGGGTGTTGCATCAACATGACAATAATCCGGACTTTTTGAAGTGCATATTGGTGACAGACGAATCTACGTTCACGCGTAATGGGGTGAATAACTTTCGCAACACTCATGTTTGGTCAGTAGAAAATCCGCACGCTGTCCGTCGAGCACATTTTCAACAAACATTTTCGGTGAATGTTTGGGCTGGCATGGTGAACGGTATGCTCATTGGACCATTTATTCTCCCAAATTGATTGGACGGGATGCAATACCTAGACTTTTTACGCAACATTTTGCCTTCCTTGTTTGCCTGCGTCTGCTCGGTAGCGCAACAGCTGATTTCATTTTCTGTTGGAGCGCTATGATTTCGGGCAGAGACGTACTTAGCCCTTCTCGTCAACTGGAGAGTGAGTACTTTTCCGTTTATTTTTTTTACTTGGTCGCCCTCGTTTCACTACACATTACCTTTGTTATTTCAAGGGTAGTTGTTTCTGAAAAGGAAAACCCCAACTTTGCGGATACCCTGATGCTGAAAAATGTCATCAGTGTATGGTGTAAGTAGGTCTGAATACGGTTCTGAGTTTTGCCAGACTCATTATTGCTAACAGTATATATACTATGATACGCTTGCTGATCACCTCAATAGACATCAAATCGTGATGAAGTATCGTGAAAAATAGACTATGTAAAACCCTTGATTAACCTGTACCTAAAGATAACCTAAATGACGTCACATGTTGAGCTTCTGTGACCTTGAAAGATAGACACGGATGCGAAACGCGGGGTATAACTTTTACCATTATTTAACGTATTCTACTAGAATATATCCAAATTATATTCACGCGTTCAGAGACTTATCCGATATATGCGCATATATGAGCGCCATCTATGAGCCACTTTTTCAGAGTAAATATAGTAAATAGAGACACAGCTGTGCCAAATTCTGACATACCACGCTACGGTATCTCATTCTATCCGGGATATTTTTTTGATGCGGGAATATAGCATTAGGTTGGGTATCTTCTGGCAGAATACCTTAATCAATGGTAAAACGTGTAACCCGCGATACGTCATTTCCAGAAATTTGTGCTGCTGTGTATCAGATATTCTGTTATTATGCATTATACACAACACATTTGATTGGCTATAGTCTAATCATAGATGAAAATACCCCAGGTTTGCGAAATAATTGTAAAGTCTGGTTTTATTCAGAACATGGACGCATAAAATGGGTACATTAATTTTTGTGGGAAAACTTTTTATTCGACGGCAATGAGAAAACGTGGTTTTTGGGATTCAATCGAAAGTGTTGGCATATAATATTTTTACGTATTTATGAGATCTACAAAATGAGACCACACGTAAAAAGATCGGACTAATAGCAAAAAAGTTATGGCCAAAACCGAGGCAAACTGCAGGGATTGGCACTTGTTGGTAATGCGACGATGGTTTCCGCAGATATTTGAAATTTTTCAAATTCGTAGGATTCGCACTTCTTAATAATCACAACAAAATTGCAGTAGATTGGTCAAGTCGTTTTTGAGAATTTCAAATTGTTTATCCCAAAACACCTATTTTCCGGTCATCACTACTAGTTTATTGAGCAATATGCAGGGTTAGTTCAAAGGGAAATTTTAAAGCAAAATACCCTAGTTTACCTTGCCAATATGAATCGCAAACCATTCCGGAAGATAAATGTTATTTTTAGGCAAAAAACGATGGGTTACGTTTTCTCTTCTAAACAAATTCAAACATTTCGTTTTTAAGAGTAATTCGCAACAAAAGATGATAAGACACATTCGCTTTGTTTTAAAATGTGTATAGTAACGTATGTTTTTCGAATATCTTAGCGCATTTGTTAAATTACTCACAAATACGAAATGGTTGAATTTGTTTAGTAGAAAAAAACGTAACCTTTGTTTTTCGCATAAAAATAACATTTATCTTACGGAATGGTTTGTGATTTATATTGGCAAGGTAAACACGTATATTCTCCTATTAAATGCTTTTTGAACGAATACTGTATATTGTATACATACCTAAAAATCTTATAGGAAAAGTTTTGTCGTTCCTGTCAACACTTTCGATTGAAGCCCAAAAAACGCGTTGTCAACTAAAAAGTTTTCCCACAAAAATTGGTGTACCCATTTTATCCGCCCATGTTTTAAATATCCCCGTGAATAACTTGCACCAACAAAAGCAGAATTTACAATTATTTCAGGGAAATTTGCTAATATGATTAGACTAGTAAGCATAATATGGCTAAAGGATTTATCTTAGGGAGTGGAATTGTTTAAATTTTGTCTGGATATACTCGTATATCGTGCTGGCTCTGTAAATTTGCCATAACATACAAAACTTATTTTTCTGATAGGATTAGTTTTGTGCAGTTCCCATTTTCAAGTAAAAACTACTATGGTAATGACAGCACTTGGGAACCACAACGCTAGCAAGGTTTTCAATACCTGGCAACATTATACAATAGCAAGATATATGAACTCTAAAGGTGCATTTTGTGATATTATGCGTCAGCTCTTCACCTTTAGAGCGTTTATTACTGACATGACGTTCGTATAACGATTATGATGACGCTGTAGCTAGACATCATAAATAGAGCATCTGACAACTGAAGTCACCTAATGTCATGCCGCTTCTGTATAAACCATAAAGGCGATCATTAAAAAGTAGAGTTTAGGGATATCACAAATACATCTATTTTGGAAATATTTGAAAAGTATCTCTGGCGACTTTATTCAGATTTTGGCAGCATAAATTCACAATTTATTAAAACAGAATAAGTTAAGAATCGAGAATTCGACTGTTGCAGTTTCTTGTAATGTATTCCTGTTCCTTGCCGGACTAGTGCACGTATATTGACATAAACATAAAAAGTTATTGAGCAATCAAGAAATTTTCATAGAAAACAAACAGACGTTACTAAACCAGTTCAAATTTCACTTACAACGAGATCCATAAACTTAAATTTCTAATAAAAAGTTGACCAAGCAATGAGCTTATTATATGTAAGATTGTGCCAAGTAGGTGGTGCTTGATACTCATCTACGTGTTTCAAAATGCGCATTCTGTAATCTATATATAAATCTCAAATAGTACTAAAATACAATAACGTCTTCGCGATATTCCTTGCGTTACCTGTAAGGAGTAAACTTTGCAAATGAATTCTTGGTTTCCATATACTTAATATTCGAAAAACTGTTGCTAATAGATGTTGACCTATCTCACGCAGAACACTTGTCCCTGACGTTTATTTTCACTGTAATATCTTTATACAAAGCATAACTAATCGGAGAGCCGTTGTTGTTTCTAACAAAACCTTAATAAAATCAGGTAATCTCCCAAAAAAACTTCAACACAATTATCCAATTTTAAGGTGTAACGATTCCGGCTTTTTTGTTACTCAGTGGAAACATCGACACCTATTGAACAAGATCATGTTTTAGGCTGCTTTCAGGAAGATTACGTAACTATAATGATATTACATATTAGACCCAGCTAACAAAAAATACTATAGGAAAATTAATAGAAGCTAGCGATATTTATTATTTGTAAAATAGTAGAAAAAAAGTTCCATTTGATATTTGAAAGATTGGAAAGTCACATTGTTCACATATAAGAATAATTTATCACAAATGTTACTTTCTATGCCAAAACTGGTGAGGAAGTGTTGTAATCGTGGAAATTATGTTTTTTGGATGTCCGCTAATTTTATAACAGCCTATAACTTTAGAAGCACCGCTTGGATTTTGATGAGATTTTCACACAAGGTTACCTATGCCAAGGATGAAAAAGCTTTGGTTTTTGAAAATCGGTCTAGTGGTGGTGGGTGGAGCTAGGAACAAAAACACGAATAAAATTAAAATCCCATAAACTTCGTTTTTGACGTTTCATATTATCGGAGAATTTTGTGAAGAGGTTGAAACTTGGGGTTTTTGGGGGTTGTAGGAGGGTAGTTATGTAACATCTTTAGTATGTTATTTATTTAGTATTATCTTTAGTAGTCAAAGACGTTCTATCATTTAGAAGCTACAGACTCCGGTAACAACGGGAAAATTAAATTATAAAAGTCCGATGTACAATGTACCCAAATAACTTTGCAATCGTTGGCGTTGCGTGCACTGCCGACTGTGCAATGAGTAACAAACTCTAACTAGTCTGCGACGGTGATCTCACTGACACACCGCTACAGGAGAAATATTCGTATATTTTAGCAATATTTTGATATTAGGAGTACAAACCACAACACTAGCGTTCTGCAATGGTTTTATAAATGATGACTTAACTGTCTCATTTACACATAAATCTCTGAATTTTATGATCCTTCCGTCTACTATTCGTCATTTGTTTGTCTGGGCGGTCCGCAGGACCTTTGCCCATTAGTCACTGTATTATGTACGTTAGTTCAATCTGTCAGTACTGGTTGCCCAGAAACCAGACAATGTCAAGGAAAAAGAGACAGGGGAAGAGAATAAAAATGGAGAAGAGCAAAGAAAAACAGGAGTGTTTAAGAGGAGACATCTAGGCTGTTTGACTTGGTACACGGATTAATTTTGAGGTGAACTAAACAAATTTTGATTCGGTTTTGTTAGAGTGTAATTTTAAGTTTACTAAAAGTTCGCGCTAATTTTTATTACAGTGCGAGCCGTGTGGCCTTGAATGTTTACGAACTTGCTCCACTGTGTAGTCCACTGAGTCGCAACAGAGGGTAAATGTAAAGAATGTCAAGGTCTATGTAGTGTCTCGTTTGAGACATACCATGGAGCGTTGCAAATTATTCGTAAAGTTCTACTTTGCAGTACTTGAAGACTTTGCATATGTGTTTTGGCAAAAAAAACACCAAGCCACATATGCATAAGTAATGGCTGGTCTAATAATCATTTTATACTCGTATAGGCGAACTTTGTTTATCAAATTCAATTTGGAGGATCTACATAACAAAGGATATAGTTGCCGAAATGCAATTTGGCATTTTGTTTTCAAGGCTGCTGTATGTTTTTGCCAGGTCATGCCTTTATCAAGGGTGACACCGAGTTACTTGGCAGAATTTGTCTTTGGTACACGATTGCCGTCTACAGAGACCTCTGCTGGGGGGCCGCGACGTTTTTTAGTACAATAAATAGCCTGCGTTTTCGAATAATTACGTACATGACTGGGCGACAAGTGCAGTGTCGTCAGCATAGAGGTAGACTTCACAGTTGCTGGGGCAAGGGACATCATGGATAAAAAGTAAATAAAGGATTGGTCCTAGGACCGAACCCTGAGGAACACCGGTCCGTACTGGCCGTGTTGTTGACAAAACATTCTTAATTTTGATCCGAAACTTCCTTCCTTCAAGAAAGGATTTCAGTAATTTTAGAAGCTAAAAAGGAAAACCCTGTTGGATTAGTTTATAAAGGAGGCCCGCGTGCCACACCTTGTCAAAGGCTTTTGAGACATCCAAAAGCAAGATGCCAATACTCATGCTGAGGGTGAACCCTCTGGTTACATGTTCCACCAGCCTGACTGCCTGTAGCTCGGTGCCATGCTCGGACCGAAAACCGAATTGAACGTCAGGAATCACATGGTGATTTGACGAAAAATTCTCAAGGTGACGATAAATCACCTTTTCGGCGAGCTTAGAAGGAGCTGATAGCAGACTTATGGGACGGTAATCCTGAGGAAATATCGATCCCACCTTCTTTCGAATCATGATGACTTCAGCAGTCTTCCACCCAGCAGGGAAGTACTGGATTCTGAGCGTCGCATTGATTATTGTCACCAAATATGTCACGGCTTTCGGCGAGAGCAGCTTCAACGCCTTGTTGGTGATTTGATCCTCCCCAGGTGCTTTACGCGCGTTGAGGTCTTTAATATGACTTAGGAGCTCCGCTGGTGTGCAATGTGGAAACTCGGAGGGTTCCGCTAATGTGCTATGTGGAGCCTCAGACGAATCTTCTGAAGAAGAGTCATCTAAAGAAGAGGATTCAGTGCCTCCGCTAACGCCGTTGGCCCTAAAATATCTCCTGACGGATCTTACCGGTGTGCTGTTCCTCGTCGAGGTCATTATCAAGATCATAGTTGGGAGAGAACTGTTTTTCCCTGGCATCAGCGAAGACCTCGACCTTATTCTCCGTTCTGAAGACTATGCCTTCAGGACCGTGGATGTGCCGGAGTTGTTCTCGCTTTCCGGTTTGCGACCCTCCAGAGAGGAATACTTGAATCAAGCATTCCCTCCAGAAAGTCGCTCCATTGCTTGTTGCGGAGTTCGTGCAGTGCGTTTCTCACTTCATGGACAAGATTTGTAGCTCTACAAATGTCATCAGGATGACGAGACCTTTTTGCCTGCTAAAAGCGGCTCTTTTGTCAGAGATTTTCTGACGAATGTCCGCAGGCAAAAAAGGTCTGCCGTGTCGTTGTACAGCTAGCTGCACGCGGAAGAGGTGCTTGAATGACACTTGTCCACTCCGCTTGAGCGGCATCTATTCCAGACTCATCATCTGTATTCGGGATATTGGGAAACTCTCTAAGGAGCAACTTGTATAGCTCCCAATCAATGCTCAAGTTTGCTCATTGCCCACATTTAAGACAACAGGTAGATGGTCACTTGAGATATCATACAAGATTCGAGAAGAGATACTGTATCGACAGTTTTTAGATATCGCGAAGTCGATGACATCTGGTGCCTGAAGATGGTTGAATGGACGGTGTGTCGGCTCTTCAGTGCTATGTATAAGGTACCCATTTCGCATCACATGGTTGTACAATCGAATCCCACTAGTAGAATTCAACCTTCCGTCTAACCTTTAATTTGTGTCCATGATGTTCTGTGAATATTTCGTTAATTAGATTGACGCAGTACTTCTGATGCATTGATATACAACAGACACTGACTAACAAACCGACATAAATGAGAAACACGGACTTGTGTGAACCGAAGTGCGAATATTATTACAAGTTTAATATTTCCACGTTATTGTCTTAGATTTTGAAAATTGATTTAGAGTCCGTCGGGCCTTTGCTCTTTCTTAAAGTATCGTAGGTGTCTCAGTGATACTATGCACCTGTTAGACATAATAAGTCACACATATTTTTCCTGCATCTGCCATGGAAACAGGAAATATGATAGATTTGCTTTGTACAGTTTGATTTGACTGGTCCCTTTGAAACGTTCAACGAAGGTGTAGAAAGTATAGAATCAATCTACTTGACGCCATTTTGTTTTTCGTATAGAATCGATACATATGGTAAGCTTGAATCTGACGGCTTCACGATAAGTGTTCCATTAGCGATTTTCCATTTTTTTACTCTACGCTTTTACCGGGCTGACGAATAACATTACCAAACACAAAAAATGAGTATTACGAATTTAGCCGATGTATGTATATGTGATGAGTTCTATCGAATAATGGAACATTTAAGCCGGTCACTTTTTTGAAGCCACCATTTTCATCTTGATGTATATACGAGTATTAAATACCTGAACACCCCGAAAACTGGGCAACCATACATTTTTCTGGAAAAAAGTATATAAGAGAAGTTCAGGATATCAAATGCAATTTGTCGATGACCTCAAATATGACCTAGACAATGACCTCAGCGGTCATTTGAAGGTAAATTTTTTGAATTCAGATAGCAACCTCCGTTTTTGACACCAGATTCGTGTCGAGCTCGAGATTCTTCATCAGAGTGCATTTTCTTACACGAGGTGAAGCGGTCATAAGTTCTTTAATCAGTATGAGCTACTGTAACATCTCAAAAGTACACGAACACCCCGAGAACTTGGCAACCACTTGACCTCATCTAGGAAAATGCACACTGATGTAGTATCTCGACCTCGGCACGGATCTCTTGTCAAAAATGATGGTTGCTCTCTGAGGTCATTGTTTAGGTCATTTGATGCCATAATTTAACCTTTCATTTTTGCCATACATTGGTATTTCATTAATGCTCGCTAGTTTCCTAGATAAAATATATCCTCCAGGGATAACAACCATACAAATAGAACAAGTACTGCACAGCTAGGGCATCACAGGGACAACGGCAAGACTGTCTTAGCGTTACCTGGAGCTGTAATAAAAAACAAGGACCGTATATGAAATATTAAAAAAATCTTCCCTTTTACATACATCTTATGTACATAAAGGTAATGCTGGATGAAGTGTCTTACAGACCAAATCATTTACATTACTGTAACTTCTACAACAGTTTACTATTAACCGAGGCTGTAGATGAAAATTTTCCATTCAGCAGCTCAGAACTGGATTTTTTTGACGCCTTGTGATATAAATCCAGTAACAAAAATGCGATATTCTGAAAGGGTACTTACAGTAATGCTCTGTTCTTACTCTAGGAAACGTGGAGGGAAACATAGACCTTGTCTAGTAAAAGACATTCAGTTATTATAATCTCTTCCACCAATCTGACTTGTTAAATCCAAATTCTTTTCTTTCGTTTTAGCTTACTGTATTTTAACATACTTTTAACATGCAATTATCAGACGTCATTTTTTTTTGTCTCACCTTGTTTCGAGCCATTAGCGTGTTCCAATCTCCTTTTCTATGCTGGTATAATGGAAAAAGTAGGTCATCTAACACCGGTTTCCTGAAGTATTGATGGATTTGCAAGCGGAGAAGTTGGGGTGTTTTATCGATTTCCTTATCTGATCATATGACACTTGTGCTTATGTGACACTTTACACTATCTAGCTACATAAAATTCTTATAAAAGAATTGAGAAATATAATGCGAGCGTCATTTCTTCTAAGCACTGGCTTATGCTTGAATCACGCGTAAAGTTATACCGTAAAACTGCCCTTATCTCACCATGTGACCACGATGCCATAGTCCGCACTCAATACGAATAAACAAACGTGCTGCTGGCGTCTACTATGCACTCATGGACATGTTTCAACATGCAATAACGTGCAGCCTCCGGCGTCCGTTTGTTTAGTCATATTGCAAAACTTTTATAGTCCCGTTCCTTCAAGTACTCTTATCAGGATGAATCTTCAAGATGTGTCAGTTACATTGGCAAGATAGTAATTTACTTTATGTGACACTTCATCCAAATGAGACAAGTAAGTTTGTATAGCGCAATGTTCAATACATGAATGTAAATCGAAATTATGTATCAAATAAAGCAAAGGACCTAAAACAGACCCCTGAGGGACACCCGAAGAAACACTCGCAGAAGTTGAAACACCTCTGTCTTCACCTTTTGTTTACGATTAGTTAAATGAGTTTCAAAAAACTTAGAGAAATGCCAGAAAGCCCAATATTCGTTAACTTATTGAACATTTTGTGGTTAATTTTAGCTAGTCAGAAATACACAATTTAATTTTGTTCACACTGCGAGGCGCACTCTGGAGCGTTTGCGAACTTGCTCGACTGTGTAGCCAACTGAGCACTATAGTCATTTGTAGGGCAAATCTCCGTTTTCATTTTCCGTTCCTACAAATGAATGAAACATCGTAGGTAATTTGTGTAGCTGAATGCTTATATGACAATAAATATCGTAAGGTGAGGTTAAATTTGGTATACTAAGTGAGAAGTTGGTAAATCGATGTGTGCTTAACAACGGAAAGATATTAGAAAAATCTTCCATTTGATAAATCTTTTGCTTCTTATTCAGTAACAGTATTTGACTATTTTTCCAGAGGAAAACAATACACAGACCTTAGTTTAAAAGCTTTTGAGATATTTGAATTTACTTTCTGGCTGAAGAAAAATCATTTAATAGTATTTCACAGAAATTTCAAGTTCAGCCTATTGTTTTGTCCATCCACATATTATCAGTAGAATAAATACTGCTTTACTTGCTACTGCTCGTATGCGGGAAGCTAAACGTAAATATAACATTTAAACGGCTTATTTAGTTACGACCTCAAATTAACGGTTCACCTAGTTTCCAACCCAAGCGGCTACCGTAGTCGTGATTTTTTCCATTCGTGTGTTATAAAAAAAGCAATTTGGGCACACCCAGCGTCGATTGTCACAGAATTGCTAACCATACTCAACGCAACTGATATTATCATGATAATGACCATGTATCGCTACCACTGATACAAAAAGTATTGTTATAAAAAATGTCACGATCGGTGAAGGTCGCTAGTATAGATTGTCATTTCTGATAAAAATGCTATTAATACATGGAATTTTGTGAAATGGTTTGATTAAGTTTTTTATTAGTTATAATAGCATTATTGGCAAATTATCTTGAAAGTAAATAATACGTAATCGCGACAAAAAATCTATAATCAGTGGCGCTAGGCATTTTATTGCTCTGTAACATGATTCTACAACCTTTGAAACGAGGGGTTTATTCGGTTATCGTTGATTAGGAGACATCCATTAAAAATGTGATGTTTCTTAGCAACTAGATTACGTGATGAGGTTATTGACTAATCCCCTACCCAAATTACTTTTGGTATTCTGTGATTTTTTGGTTGTTTATATTGTGATTTGTCCTCAGGGCCTTTTTCCGTTTTGTGGTTGTGCCTCTTTCACCCGATATAATACTAAAATTCATGTTTTAGTAGTTTGTTGCTAAGGAAGCGGATATAATCGGAATATTTTTCTGGTTGACTCGAAATAAAAATGCGAGATCCAATCGCTAATTATTTTTTTATAATATTATTAAGTTCTCATTTATTAGCTTCGCTCTCTTCTATGATGGTTCTGAAAACTGAAACGCCCATAAAAGTATCGAGAATGACTGTTTATGTAACTGGTTGTGAAATGACTAAGTTTGTTGAGGTAGTGAGAATTCGCAGGATAACTACAGAGGTGTGTAGGAAAGATTCTAAGCATTTATTTACTTCGTATATTTCAATCATTTTATATCAAGTAAATTGAGCAACAAAGTACTGAATCGACATACAACAATACTGCCATCTAATCACCATAATGTGCTGTCCTATTTCGATTGACCTCTGGTAGAGGATACTTTTGCTCAGTTTTCGTTGTTTGTCCTGCTTAGACATCTAGACGGTGATGGTTGCCAATGAGCATAGAAACAGGTGTAGAAAGAAATGTTCTTCAACGAATATGTGTCACTTCCAACTTTGAGCGGAACACGGTAGTACCGACCACTACGTCGTCGGTAGCAGGAAACTGCACTGTTTTTCAACATCTCTTCCAATGAAATGGACAACATAGACACATAGGCCTCTCATCAATCAGCTAGCAGCTTTGACGTACTATGCAAAAGTATACAGCTTTGTTTCATGCTTTCTGGCAGTCATCAGTACGGTATAGGTCTAGTCATTGGAGACAGACCATACTGATGAGTGCGAGAAGGCACGAAACAAAACAACTACAATATTGAGTTTTGTAGTAGTCCTATATTGTTTGCTTTCCGTCATCTACTTAGACCGATACTGTACTGATTGGTTGATTATGGTCACAGAGCAAAAAAAAAACAGATCCTATACATCCTACATTTTTATTGTGCATGTCTGGACTATAAGTCGTATTCATCTGTGCTTTCGTGCTGCAATATTTCAGTATCTCTCTGTACACTGCCATAAAACGGTAACGTCTAAAAATAATCGCGAAATTGAGGAAGTGATCCATTTGCTCTTCTTGACGACGAAGATGTTTTGGATAGAAATTTTAGTGAGGGTAGGCTAACCAACATAATTCGTATTAAATCATTTTCAGTATAAAACCGTACCTCTTCAAATGAAGATAGTTTAGTATCTTAGGAAACGAAAATGCCAGTTCAAAGAAAAATTAAGACATTCGGTATTTCTGACCTACAGAGCAATAGGTAATTTCCACGTTTGCAAGACGTGATCTATACATAATTCTATAACTGCGTTGGCGAGAAATATTTTAGCGTTTTCCCAGGTAAATACATGTATTTGTGGATAATTGTTAAATTATTTACGCACTAAATTATTGATAGTACTGTAAAAAGTTACGGATTCAAAGTTTGGGCGATTAAAATGCGATTTAATTCAAATGAGAGTTTGTTGAAAATATAAAGAAACATTAAAAAACGGATGACCCATGGAATATGAGGTTAGATTTGAGCCACCCACAAGGTATGCGACGTCGCGTGGTCAAGATCTATAACATCATTTGTGCTCTTCAAATTTCCTTCCGTTTTCAAATGCCGCGCTATTTATTATGACTACATCATTTTTTGTGCAACAATGTTGGCAACGCCCCATCTTAGGACGTAATTTGCTACTGGTTATGTTAACGTGTTTTTCGAAGAACGTTCTTTGTTAGCGGGACAGCCACCGTTACATGGGCGCCCGCAAGATTTTTTCCCACATATTATAAAAATATTGATACACCTAAAAATAAATGAATATTAATAAAAATTTTGCTTGTATAATTTTCAAATTAAATTTTATGAATAATCGGTAATAATCAAAATACTCAATTTTGAGGTTTTCCCATTGTTTATAAAAAACAACAACTAACAAAAAATATTTGGCTGTATCTTTTTTTCACAAAATACCCATTTTTTTCTTCGTAGCCAGGGCTCATTCGGATAGTGTTTCTCTTTTCGTCTAGTGCATGCGATGCGACTGATTTCTCCAACAATGTTATGGAAAGCGAGCGGGGGGCAAATTTTCTTGAAGGACCAAAACCTTAAATATTCTTCACAAATTCAGTTGAATTCTGAGGGAGGCCCGAAACAGGAATTTGTATTGTATCCAAAATCTTTCGAAGCAAGTATTAAACTAGGCATATTTAAAAATTCTCAAAAAAGATGAACGGACTCATTCCAAATTCAAAATGTATATTTTGCTTTTATTCTAAGGGCTTGTGTTTATGCTTTACTTCTCCTACTCTGAGTATGCTACTTTTTAATCAACCTTCACAATTTGTTTAAATATTCAAATCACTGATTTTACAGTAATCGCTTTCTATAAATGCGCACTATATGCATTATGCAGAATATATATGATACCGCTACTGAGATCCCACACGATCTTCGATGCATTCGAGGCAAAGCGAAAGGTCACCAGTCTGGTTAACAAATGATGTAACAATTACTCTTTGAAAAAGTTATACACAACCGAGAACGTGGCTGAGAGGTGAAATCTCTAATTTTAGAAAGGATGCGATTAAAATTAATAGAGCTCTTACAAAAAATAGCCGCTTCGGTGTTGTTGTGCGTGGGTTTCCGAAAATTTACGTCGTGATACCTAGACGTATTTTAATATTATACAGGTCACTTTACACGGGGAATAATTATTTGGTCGAAGCGCTATTTTTAAGTCAGTCAAAACAGATACATACCATTTGTAGTTACATACCAACA